TATTGCACGACCTTGTAGCTTTTCAAGAGACAAGGGGTGGCATATTAGCAATATTCTGTCTGTTTATTGCATTGATGTGCCACGTTGGTGTTCAGATGTAGAAAACCTTCTCTTTTGGTTTTGGAAACAAAGTGGTATTTTCTTAAATTCTATTTGGCCTTGTAATTTTTTAAGAGACAACTCAAAGAAGAGAATACATGCTATTAGAGGGGAAAAGAAAAGGGAAATTAATAAGCACTTAGCCAGATTTCTATGTTTGATAAAGTGGGGAACTCAAATGCCCCTTGAGTTGATGATTTTTTATGCAAAATGCAGCAAGCCATTATAGGTTTTGATGCCATGGAGATGCTCAGTGAGATGGAGTCACTGGGTACATCTGAAATTGATTTTGGGGTTGATGAAATTGATGATGAAGATAGTGATGTCGAAGATGAGGGCGATGAGGATGAGGATGATGATGACTATGATGAGGTTTGGTTTCTCTTTCTTTTCAGTCCATTCCCGCTGTTGGGTTTTAGCTTTAAAATGGAGAAGTATTTGAACAATTTTTTTCCAGGTGCATTTCTCTGTCTTGGCTGTAGGACTTGGTGGCTGTTCTTGATGATTCGGACGAGGAAGATGACTCTGACGAGGAACTTGGAGACTGGGCAAAATTAGAGACAATGCGTTCTTCTCATCCAATGTATTTTGCCAAAAAGCTGGCTCAGGTATTTGTCCATTGCACATCTTTGACCTAATGCACTTTTAGGAAGAAGCAAATTCGATTTGTTTTGTGTCAGTGTAAAATTGCATCAACGGTTGCTTTCTACTTGCAAAGTGTATTTTTTCAATTGTCATCACTATGAAATTGTGGAATGGCCATGGTTTGTAGTCTTAGCTGAGTTCTTGCATTTCTATGTTATTTCTTATTTGTTTTGCATAGGTTGCTTCAGATGATCCTATAGACTGGATGGAACAGCCTCCTGCTGGTCTAGCTATCCAGGGCCTTATTAGACCTGCCTTCATGGAAGAACACTCTGACATCCAGAGGCATATGTCTGGCAGCCAGTCTTGTGATGCTGATATAAATAAGGTTGGGAAAAGTGTAGAAGGCAAACTAGAAGAATCTGGTGTGGTAAATGGTCATGAACACAAGTCAGGATCATCTGAAGATAGTTCAATGTGGGTGGAGGAATCAGAGAAGGATAAGGTCCCAAGAAGTAGAACTTCATTTTACAAGCTGGAGATGATTAAAATTCAGCTGATTTCAGCTCATGGACACCAGGTATATAAGCATATTTTCTTACCTTTATTTGAACATTCGTTGGTTGCATATAAATTTCTTTTTATAATGGAATATGCAATACTTTCCAGAGACTCTTGCATATTGGTTGTGAGTCTGTCCTTATTCTTGTTGAAACGATGGAGTTGCTGTTGTGAACTTTAGTAAAATGATATTGTCAAGTTTTGTCACTCACTACACAAGATGTGTCCATGTATCCTGTTGCAATTAACATCACTTCTACAGTCATATTTTGATAAAAGTTCCACCTCTATTCTGTTGTTGCTTTCAGTATTACCATTTACTGTTGTCAATCAAACTTGGTTACGAACATTTTGATTACTGAACAAATTCATTGCTTACTTCAGAAAAAAGTCCCAGAGAGCTTCCTTTTATTTCCTTTGCAACAAGTTCGATGTCCACATTTAGCAGCAATTAGTGCTGGATAATCAGAGTTGGTGAAATGACAATTTTTCTTAGTTATCAATTTTTATTTCTATTTTCGCACCCTATGAATGATCAAGAAATATGCTGTTGGAACTTGTACATGCACAAGAAACTAATTCTTCTCCTCTTGTTCTGTAAAGACTATGGTCGAAGTAGAAGACTTTATGAAAGCAAAACCGGATGCAATTGCACTTTCAGCAGCCAGAATCATATCTCTAATGAAAGCTGGTGGAGAAAAGATTACACAGGCCTTTAAATCTCTGTGCTGGAGATGCAAGGGTATTCAAGTGGAGGTAACACACATAAATCTGCTTCATCAGTTAATAGTCAAAATTACACCCTGTGTAGGAAATCTTTTCAATTAACTTCAAGTTTATAATATTATGTTGAACTAGTGCCTATCTCACCTCTGTTTGCATGTTTTGCTAGGCAACCCATTGTTGAACATAACCATGCATGAAACACCACTCCAGTTTGCTGTAGCTTATTTGCAGTTCATAAATAATTAGTTTTGTTTTATCATATTGTAGGAGGCGGCAATTATTGACGTAGATTCCCTTGGATTTGATTTGAGAGTTTGTTCTGGAACACAAATCCAAACGCTGCGGTTTGCATTCAATTCACAGGTATGTGCATCTGTAAGCAATTATCAGTACCTGTTGATCAGCTGCATTTACCAATTGGTTTGTTTTTTAGTGATGCAAATGTTTTTGGCTTGCTTCAAATTGGCCTTCCTTTACTCATGACATGCTTCTTTCTCCCAACTCCATTGTTTTTGCAGGCAACTTCAGAATATAGTGCTGAAAGACAGCTGAATGACTTGCTATTCCCAAGGATCCAAAGCAGGCTGCCGAAAAAGAAACCAACTCATCGGAACGATCACTAACATAATAACATTGTTAAATGCCAGCACCCGGTTTTTTCTGGATGGTTTGTTGCATCCTTAGGTGTTGAGAACCTGTCTATTTGTTTAAAAAAAAATTCCGCAGTTCGTGATCATATGTATTTATTCAATTTTAGTAATGCCATATAAAAACAATGCTAGAATGACCATTGAGGAATCCAGTTTTCCAAGCTGCTTAAAAGAAAATTCTTGTAGTTTGTATCCTTGTCCATTTTTTTCAAGCTAGTAATTATCATTGAGAGATCCATTTTTTTCCGAGCTCCTTTTGCAATGTTGATACTTGACTCCCCAGCTGCTTTGATAGAACCAGTCAGAAGCAGGCAACTTTTGTGAGGTGAACGCGAAGACAAGTTGGTGAATGCATGTATTCAACTGTCCCCTTTTAAGATAGTGATCTAAATTGAGTCCTTGAGATCCATTACAAACAAAAAGTGAATAGCTTGTAGATTTCAAGCAACATTTCACGAGCTTCCTAAAGACAAATTGAATTCAAGTAGGAAAAAGATCATTACAGAAAACATGGGTAGATGGCAAGCAGAAAGAAGATTTCGAGTGGGAATTCCTCATTGTATTAGCATACATAGCATCCATTACCATCCATTTTTTCTAGATTTTACAGCATTGACCATCACTTTATTTCTACTAACAATTCATATACTCAATCTCATTACTTATCCTTGATGCAACTCTCATACACCAATTGTGCAGCAAGCAAATCCACAACTGCAGAACCAACAGACTTGAACACAGTGATCTCTTCAGAATTCTTTCTGCCAACTTGCTCCCCTTTGATCAACTCCACCAAAAATCCCACATCCTCTTTCTTAGTCACCCCCCTCTCAAAAGCACCTACAAGCTCCCCTGCCTCCACCAAAGCAGCCTCGTTATCGACAAACACTCTTCCTCTCCTTATTGCCTCATCATCACATTCCCTCATTGTCTCCTTGAAAGAACCCACCATATCCAAATGGGCTCCTGGCTTCAGTTTCTCACCCTTGACCAAAGGTGCATCAGCATTTGTAGCACAACTCACAATATCACCCAATCCAATAATTTCCTCCAAATTATCATTACTTTCAAAACAAACCCCATCATTTCCAATGCATTCTTTCTTCAATTTCTCAGCCAAGTCAGAAGCTTTCTTTACTGTTCTATTCCAAATTATCACCTTTTGCAAACTGGGTCTTGCAGCAAGATGAGCCTTGATCAAATGAGGTGCCAAAGCACCAGCACCAACCATCACAAGAACTTTACTATCATTCCTAGCCAATATTTTTGATGCTAGCCCAGATACACAAGAAGTTCTATAAAGGGTCAAAACAGTGCCATCCATTGAAGCCAAAGTCTGGCCAGTTGTAGAGCTAAAAAGCACATAGCTTGCATGAATTCCAGGCAAGTTTAGTGCGGAGTTTTGAGGGAAGTAGGTGACAAGCTTGACACCTATATAAGGAAGGGAGGGAGTAGACGACCAAGAGGGCATCAAAAGGAGAGAGGATGATTGTGAAAGGTCATAGCTTTGACGGATTGGAGTGTGGAGTGTGGAAGAGGTAGTGGGGAGAGATGTATGGAAGTGTTGAATTAAGGAATTGTGTGCGAGGATTGAGTGTAGAGATTCATTGGTGAGGAATATAGGTGATGTTATAATGGCGGTGGCGGTGTTATTGGCTGTGTTTGGTGTTGACGCCATGGAAATGAGAGCTGTGGAGGTATGGTGAGGAAGAGAGGGAGAAGTTGGAAATTTGGGATATCAGAATTGAAAGGAAAGAGACCAGGACTTTCGTTAAGGAATATGCGCTTTGTTTTACCAAAGAAAACCGTGAGTTTTTTATTTAGCATAGAGTAAACTGTTAACTTAACCGGTGGTATTAAACCTTTCCTGGCTTAATGAATCGATCCGGGATCTCATTTGGAGTAGGGTTTCAAAAATATCGGATAAAAATTGACTTGGTGTCACCCATTTAATCAAGCAAATTAATTTTAAACCCAGTCAAAATATATTTTAAAACATTATTATTTTCATTAAATGAATTTAACTTGTAACTCAGATCATGAATTAAGTGAATTAAGTCATGAATTGATTGAGCCAAGTTTAATAGATCATGAATTTAAATGGTCATGTTATAGAATTTGTCATTGTGATTTGTCCATCTATGGGCTGTTTACAGAGAGGAATAAAAATTAAATCCTGTTTTATGTATTTCAGTCCATAAAAATGAAAACCATGCAAAATTACCCCTGAAAGCTTTTCAATCTCTCCTATCCATATGACAATTTCTAGAAATGTACGAGGATACAAGATGATAATAGTGGGTTCTTGGGCTTCAACATTATTTTCTTGAAAAGAAAAGAGTGGCAAGTAGCCACTCACTCGTATGCTATTTCATTTTGTTTTGGAAAAAATAAAGAATTCCCATATATTGAAGGCAATGCCAAGATTCTTCCCCTTTCTGAAAGAAATTTCAAGACATTACAGAAACAGATGGCCGTGAGCATACCAGGGATTCTGCCAATAGCTGTGAATATTGACCGTGTATGCATTACAATGGCAAATGACATAAAATACAACCAAGCCCTGCTATGAGTGTAACAGTTGTTGGTAGACAATGTTTGGCCATTCATGCCCATGGGTGGCATTTCTATAAGCCAAAATTACATCAACAAACAATTCCAAGAGAAGGCAGCAAAATGACCTATCCTAATGTTATGAGTCTACAATCTTATTTATGTTGTTTTAAGGCTGTTTTGACAGAGAGAATGTTTGCTACTCATTCCAGTGGTAGCAGAACCATCCATTGCTGCATAGAAAGGAACAGGAAAATAAAGGTCTAGCAGGATTCAGCTGTTCTTTTATTCTTCATCAAAGTTAACTCAACCAGAAACCATGAAAGATTTTTCCAAAAAGTCATCAGCAGTAGGTTTCCGATCAGACATCATCCTCTCAAGAGTCTGATCTTAGTGTACTTGCAAAGAGCTTGCCGCGATTTTGATGGGAGATTGGATCCTATGACAAGAATTAAACAAATTAAGCAAACAGAATGAAATGATATTCGAGGTTGAGAAAAAAAGAGACATGATCTAACCACCAGGCGTGCTTGTCTGCAGAGAAGTTTGTCACAGCTAATTGGAGAGTATCCACTGACCAGCAAAAGATTTCCCTGATTAAAAAGTGGCAATTGTTAGAAGACAAATGAACAAGCCTTCCAATTACTTGGTTATTTCCATCAACTAGAGCAGAATGTAAGGCCTCAAATTTTCTGTTAAAAACAATTAACGAAACGAACAAACTCAGGAAGCACTATGAGGGGAAATTATCTCTTAAAACCTGAAGGGAGCCAATGGACAGCATCTCCCTTCAATTGTGAAAAGCAGCACAATTTGGGCACCATGCAAAAGGTAATTTGGCATTAAATCAACCAAGAATTTACCCCTTTCTGCGTGCAGCAAATTTACCCTTGAAATGAAAGAATCACAAAATAAGAATATAAAAAAATCTGAACATAAATTTAACTAGGTTATGGGCCAATCAACACAGCAACGGTGAGTTTCAAGGTAAATTCATATGGCTTGTATGTTGATGACACTCAGGTCACCATGGATCAGCACCTGCTGTTGACTCGGTTACAGACCCATACTTCCCAAGTTCACCCATCTATCAATGTTTATGCATCAGCCAAAAGACAGACGATGCTGTTAAGTCATCAATATCAAACTCACTTTAGGATATTGTATCTCAAAATGTCTTCAGCGAAGCATATTCTCCTTGTCTTTTTATCTTTTCATTTGCACATTAAATCAAAATTGCATGTGCTTTATTAAATCAAGGGCCATTCACATACAAGAACGAAAAGCCACAAACAAATATGGAGGAGGTCCATTTTCAAGCACATGCAGCAGCTAAGAAGAACCATACTATCTAGTAGTTCTCCTCATGACCGTAACAATTCATCGCAAATCCCAATAACCGATACCATCACTTAAAATATAGAACAAAACCCCTCCTATCTCAAATCTTTCTTTGCCCATGTAACTAAAAATAAGAAAATCCAAAATTTTTGAATTGGGTTTATCTTAAAAAGGAAAAAAAACTCAATCTTGGTCATGGATTTCAATTTTGTTTTTTTTTTTTTTTACTTGGAAAGTACTTAGATCCCATAGAAGTAAATAATTCATCAACCATAACCTTAGTAAAACGCAAAACAAGCAATTTATTGTAGTCAAAGCATGCAGGTACGCCATTGATAATGCTGGCTGTAAAGCTAAAGATTGATGGAGAGAAACTAATAAATAATAAATAGATAGAAGAGAGAACTTCACTTGCAAGTTCTTGTTGGCTGCTTAAGTGGGAAAAATGCCTTTTATATATTGGGCATGTTTGTAATTTTGTGAAAACTTGAAGGGAAAATTGTATTTTCAGAATTAACAGGTTGTTGTTTACTGATAATAAGGTGGTGTTGTTTGCTGATAATAAGGTTTCACTTTGGTAAAACAATTTAAAAAAAAATCTAATTTTGCTTAGAGAGAGATAAAGAGATGAGAAAATTCTTACTTGAAGATGGAGAAGGTTCAAGCTATCCAAGGCCGAAAAGACAAAGACCCTCTTCTCCCTCCTCTCCTCCTCCTCCTGAATTTCCTATGGAAGAAATTGCTCGTGAGGAAGAAGATTCTGATGAAGAAGAAGATGATGATGAAGACACAAGTGATGAAAGTGAAGAAGAAGATGAGGAGGAGGTGGAAGAAATAGTGAGACCACTACCACGACCACCACTACAACAAAATAATCAGATGGAAACTGTGGGACTACAACTACTACAACCCAGATTATATGAGAGCCCAATCTTTCTAGAACCTACCCTTGTGAGGCCCAGCAGAAATGGAGCTATTTTTGTAGCTTTATCAGACCCAGAAGTTCTTGATTGTCCCACCTGCTGTGAAACCTTGACCATTCCTGTTTTTCAGGTATTTGTTTCTTTTTTCTGTTTTTTTTCCTCTTGCTTGTCATGTCCTCGCTTTTAATGATAGTTTATTTACGCGCGCGCATGTTGAATATGGTAAGGGATTGTTGGCTTATTAGGCTAAGATTTGAAGTTTAGATTTGGCTTTTTTAGTCAGATTATGGTTAGATACTTTGAGTTTCTTGATTTTGTATCTGGGTTTTGATTATTTGTTCTTGGTACTATTTTCCGTGCGAGAAAGGATTTTGACCTCTTTGTTAGCTTGTTTTCTTGAAATTGAACTTTTCTATTCAGTTTATATAGTTGTTTTGTGTATATATCAGAGCTATGCTTTCATTAGTTTTGAAGTAAGATGTTATCATTTGACATCTTTTGGTAGCTAAGAAGATAGACATTGGATGTTAATGAATAGGAAGTTGATATCTGGTCTTGTAAGAATTTCCAGTTTGTGTGGTTAAGTGGCTATGGAAGTTGGAATGTTTTTTTTTTTATGTGGTCTAGTTAATGTAATGGACTGGAGTTTCATTTGTTTGATTGGGATGAAGCTCATATTGCCTTGCATGATTGAGGTTTAGGAGCTGGAAATTTAACAATTGAACCAGGTACTTCTTGGGAAATGGTGGTTGTGCTGCTTCAAAGGTAACTTTCCAGATGTGGTGCGGAGAGAGATTTAAGGATGGTTGGAGATCTATTGTCTTGATGTTCTTGTAGGATTATGAAGTTTGAAGTTGCGAGTAATATTGTCAAAGAGAAGTTGAAGTTTGAACTCTTAGGAATAAGACAATCATTGTAATCTGCCAAAAAAATTGCATTGAGGTTATGATTATATAGGAAGTTGTCAAAGATGACATGGGGATTAGAGAGGTTTTCATCATACTTTAGAACATTTTTTATCCTCCAGTTATAAACAACTTGTATTTATTAAAATTTCATAATTTCTCTTAAAGCATTCTTTTAAAAAACATGTGGATGCACGGATCTTTCAAGAGAATGAAATGTTGAAAAGATCACTCAGAAATAACATTGATTTTCTCAATAGAGATCTGTATCAGTAGATGCTAAAAACTAGTTCTATTCTTATTTCATTGATTCAATGTTTTAGTTTCTATGTGAGTTATTATATGACATTTATGATATTCTGTCTCGTGAGTAGAATTTTTCTTGATTTATTTTCTGTGTTCTTGCTGGGAAATTTAGTGTCAGAATGGACATGTAGCTTGTTCTTCTTGCAGCAAAAAACTCCAACATAAGTGTCCTTCTTGCGCTATGCCCATTGGTGATAACCGTTGTTGTGCCATTGAGAAGGTTCTTGAATCACTGAAGGTACAATGCTCCAATTGGAGGTATGGATGCAGAGAAAACATTTGTTTCAGTAAGAAATACGAACATGACAAGTGGTGTAGCCATGCGCTGTGCACATGCCCCCTGTTGGGTTGCAACTTCCAGGGCTCATCTAAGCAATTGTACCTACACTGTAGACGTAAACATTTAGGCAAGTTGACAAGTTTCCAATTCAATACCAGCTTCCCTCTTTTCATTACTGTCAATGACAAATTCTGTATTCTTCAAGAAGATAAAGAAGGTGTTTTATTCATTCTGAATAATAGATGGGATACTCTTGGACATGTGATCACTGTTAGTTGTATGGGGCTTTCTTCATCGAAGCCAGGGTACTTTTACAAACTTATGACAAGAGCAGAGGGAAGCAATATCAGATTCCAGTCTTCCACAAGAAATGTCCAGACCAGAGTTGATGACCCTCCATCGCTGGGGTGCCTTCTAGTACCAAATGATTTCCTTGGTGCTTATGGGCAGATAACCTTGGACGTCTGCATCTGGCATCTTGGCTCATATCCTGCCATTAGCTCTGTGTGAGTTATTAAAGAACTGAATAGCTGTTTGTGAGTGGTCCTTTTGACATTATAAAAGCAGATGTGGCTAGGGCTAGCCTGTTTCTTAGTTTCTATATCATCCTTTAATTTCTTTCCTTTTTCTCTCTGATTGAATCTATATTATGATGATATTACTACAACAATTTTCATTTTTCCCCTATTGATTCCTAGGCTCCTCTCAAGTCCCATGTTTGTGTTCATGACTTTATCCACCAAATAAATGATACAGCTTGAACTGTATCAATCAGAAGTGTGTGTGTGTTTGTGTTGGGATATATTTTGTGAAGTGGTATGTTCTTTTCTGGTCCCTAGTGGTTCCTCACTTTGATCAATCCATTTGATGCACAGAAGAGCATGACCTCGGATTAAAGATTGCAGCATCAACGTTTCCTGGTTAACTCAGATGCCCTCTCAGCAGTTCCTGGGATCGACTGGCTGCCGCACACTAGGCAGGCTGCTGTTCTGACATAGCATGGTCATATACATGAACAACAATTTGAGTTGGTGGCTCTCCTATGTCAATTTTCATTAACTTGAAGAGATGGTACATCAATACTCTTGGAGATCAAGTACACTACCCTCGCTGGTTAAGGCTTGAAATAAGGGGTAGCTACAATTTCTCCAATCATAAACGTATACAGTACAATACAAATAGTGTAATGTAAGCTTGTACAAAAACGACCTTATTGTTACAGCATGATCAGGGGAAAGAAATTATGGCTGTCCTGTGATGTTGCTGCTAGAATACATTTAATGAACTCGAAACAAGGGCCACTGAGATAATTGGTCTTGAAGTAGATCAAACTAGGCATTTGCCCCGCCATGATTTCCGTTAAAAATGAAAATCTGACAGCATGATGTGTTTGAAGTCTTAAATAATTTGGTTAAACTTGAGATCGTCTCATCCCTAAGAGTAGTAGTTGTTATCACACTTCAAAATAAATCATCGTCGGTTAGCTATATGGGAGTAAATTCTTCAGGAAGGAACAAATTTGTCCATTTGTGCAGGATGGGACCTCAAGAATTTTACTCAAAATATCATCACAAGATAAATAAATCAAGGAATATCTTTGGAATCTTGGAACCAAGGCACTTCCATCCATTTATTTTTGGATAAGATACATGGAACACATAGCATAAGGCTAGCATCATGAGAAAAGGTATAGCTTAATTGAGAAACCATGAATACTCTAGTTTGTTCACAAAAATCACCCCTCTACCTTGCAAACTCTTCACCATGGAGGCCAATGGCTCCTTCTATCCTCCCAACAAGCATACAAAAACCCCTAAACAGCCCACCTGCAACATGGAAAGTGCAAGCAAGTGCTAAAGGCTTTGGCAGCGCCCCACCTTCCATACAAGAAAGTAGCATTAAGAAAACCTCCAAAAACACCAACAACAATGACGACGAAGAAATCCCAGAAGAGGTGCTTTATAGAATCATAAAGAGAGTGTTGGTATCCGTTGGGGCACCTATGGCACTTGCCTTTGCATCAATGAACGTGATAGGTTTGGTCATGGAGCAACACATATGGAATGTGCCAAAATGGTTCATGTTTTTGACACTTTTTCTTACTTTAGGAGCTTCTGTTTGTGGGATTGCCTATGGGGCTTTATCTACAAGCATGGATCCAAACGAAAAGGGATCGTTTCTTGGGTTTGAACAAGTCCAGAAGAATTGGGTTGAGATGTGGAAAGAAGAAGATGAGGGCAAGAAATCTTGGGACTGAGAAAGGATAAGATCACCAGCCTCGCACGTGCTTTTCTCTCCTTCATTATTATTTTTTTCTTCCTAATATGGGAGGGCATGGATTAGCAATGCTCTTGCTAGCCAGAGAGTTGGTGTTCTAGTTTCTCGATGTTGTTTTGCTCTCTCCTATGGAGCTAATTGCAAATATATGGTTACAACGAAATTATAATCCAATTACCATCATGTTTAAATTTTATAAAGCGTTTTGGTTAGTGTATTAGAATAAAAATAATAAACTCAAAGGAGATATAATATTGTTTGATTGAAAAGATATTCAAATGAAATAAATATTTTTTTTAAGGTAATTTTATTTTAAATTTTTTTATTTTTAAAATATTAAAACACCGAGAGAGATGTAATGTTTGTCTCCATTGTCTCTTTTTTTTTTTTTCAAAAAAGTAACTTACTGTGGAAGACATTATAGCTCCTAAAACAATTTTATAGTAAAATTCACAATTTATGAAAGTGAATTTATAATTAGTAGAGTTTATATGAAAACATTATTTTAAAAGCTGGTTTAAAAGTGTAGTTACGATTATTTTTTTAAAGTATTTTTTATTTAAAAATATATTAAAATAATATCTTTTTATTTTTTAAAAAAATTATTTTTAATATCAGCGCATCAAAATATCTGAAAACACAAAAAAAATATTAATTTAAAGTTAAAAAAATAAAAAAATTTGAAATTTTTTTAAAATATTTTTAAAATATAAAAACAAAAAAAATTGCATTCCTATGTTATCTTTCATGCTAATTAGTGTTTTGATAAATTAAAAACATTTATTTGAGTTTCCTTTGATAGATAAACATAAACAGAGAGATAATTCTTCACGCCAACAGACACTTATCGGTAATGCCTAATTCCAAAACTAGCTTTAATTGTGGGAAGAAAGCAGCTAGAAAAAGCAGCATGTTCCGTCATACCGTTACATCTACGAATGGCACCAAAATCAAAACATAAACTAATGGAATCAGGACATGGACACGTGTATTAAATATTTTTATTGATGAAGATGTTTAATTGTTTTTAATAAGCATGAAGATACTTTACTGGTAAAAAATCCTGCATGTTTTTGGCCATATATGACGTCCTCAAAGTGGGTTTTATTTGATGCCTCTCAAATATCTCATCCTCAACAACAATGACCGGATTTCATTGAATATTTTAATTTGTTTACGGCACCTGTGATTTTTTTAAAAATTAAAAAAAATATTTAGACAGTAAAAATCATCTGTTTTTTATTAAATTCAACTTAACAGTGTAATATTGAAACTTTCTAATTTGATTAATTTAATTTAAAATTAATTCATGTGATAATTATTTTAATTTAACCAGCTTAAAAACATATGAATAAACTTGTTAAAAAAAGTTTAAGGATGTTATTAAAAAAAATTGACATACAGATCAACTTGTTAAAATTTTTTAAAGGATGATATTAAAAAAAATAACATAAAACATTTTTAGACCTAACTTTTTATCTAGTCCGAGTTAAAATTAAATCATATAAAAATTAATTTATATGATTGGATCAACTTGGTTGGTTAAAAAACAAATAAATTGATCGATAAAAAAATTTAAGGATGATATAGAGAAAACTAAATGATGAATTAACAAGAAAAAAACCATCTTAACTTGTTTTCTTGTTTAACTCAAGTTTAAAATGAAATTATATAGGGGTTGTTTAGCATAATTCAATCAACTTGGTTAATTAAAAAACAATCTAAATTATTATTAAAAAATTAAATAATAAAATTAAAAAAATAACTAAAATGAAATTAAAAAGGAAAGGAATGAAAAACAAGTAAACTAAATCGAGACCATAATAATTCTCAAGTTTTTTTATTTAGGCATGTTTGTTTCATGAAAATAATTTTTTTTAAAATTATTTTCCAAACTTTTATGTATTTATTTGTTATTAGAAAATTTGTTCAATAAAAAACACTTTACAATTAAAGAAAAATTTGGTTTGATTTCTAGAAAAGTATTTTTATTTTATTTCGAATGGAAAACACTTTCTAAAAATTGTGAAAAAATTAGAAATATTATATTATTTGCTTATTATATCAAATTTGATACTCGAATTGTTATATATTTTATTTTGAATATTTGTTTTTCAATTTCATCCATTAAAATTTGATTTAATTTGATTTTTATATTAACTTTACTTCTTATTTCTTATGATGGTTATTTATTTTTTTCTTATTATGTTTTTAATTAAAAATTTTTATTTATCAAATTTGGTCCTTATTCTTTTTATTGTTATTTTTTTTATTTGAAATAATTTATGAAATTATAATTTTTTTAAAAAAATTCATCATCTTTTAATTTGTTTATTTGTTAGATTTTTTTATTTAAAATAATTTATGAAATTATATTTTTTTAATTTTATTGTGATTCAACTTTTAAATTTATAAGATTTGTAACTTATTATTTTAATAAACTTGAAAAATAATATTAATAATTTATTTTTCAGTTCATTTCTCATGATATAGTTATATACTATAAATTATTTTTTAATTTATTTTTTATAAAATTATAAAATATAACAAAATAATTTATTTTCTAATAATTTATTTAAAAAATTACTTTAAAAAAAATTACTATCCACTGAACAAATTACTTTTTATATACAAGTAATTAGTTGAAGGGCTGCTGTGCACATGACCTCATGAATGATGACATTTAGTAGCATTTTTTCCCATTTTGATTAAGACCCTTTTATCATCAAGTGGAAGGGTTGTGTTTAGCTTCCTATAGAATAAACCTCCTCCGCAGAGAAGAGCCTTTGATATTTTTAATCCATCGCAAGTGCTTGCTAACCTTCAAATGGTCCCTCCCTTGGTCGATGTCTATATCATACGTACATATTACGATGCCATCCTGCTCTGACGTTGACTCCTCTGATGGACGACGTCATGCAAGACGGCTGAAGCAAGTTTAGCCTCCACCCAGTTGGATCCTCGATGGTTGGGTCAGGGTGGCCTTGCAAGAACGGTCCCGACGCAAAAAGTAGAACGTAAAAAAAATGGATTTGAATTGCTTGAAGGAGACGACATTCCTAAATCTCATGGGTAGTCGATGATGATTGATACATGGTGGCGCCGGACAAATTAAGCGATAACGAGATTTTCTTCGTCTGAGAATAATCTAAATATTTTATAGGGAGGCTTTTGTGGCCGGAGATGGTTCTTTGACGCTTGTCGATCTTTCTTTTCAATCTTTTAAGGTGGAATTCTTGAATCAATATTTTTAAAAATCTATTCCATTTAATATACAAATCAGTGATAAGGGTGTATGCTTAAATTCATTAAAAACATCATTTTAATTAATGTATAAAAAAATGATCTATATATATATATATATATAGCCTTTCTGGGCATTGAAAATGAAGCACCTACCTTCTACTCCAGCCATCAACTTTGCTGCGGGAGGATAACCATGTCTTCACTTACATGAAGACACTGCCCTGAAAGAATGATGAGTGGCTAGCTTGGCCATCTTTACGCTATAGTGATGGAAGTCTTTTTGTAATTGGGGTCGACTCCACCTGAATCTTTGGTTATGAAAATATATATATATATATATATATTTAATATAGTTTTGAAATGAATTTTTAAAATAAAAGAAACTGAAAAATCAGTTTTCTCTTAGCATGAACAAATTGACTCATTCTATTTATAAAATCAACCGACCAAGCAATAGCATACTAAAATAATTAATGTCAATAAATGCCAAACCTAAGATATGACATGATATATATCCTATATTAATATTAAATAGTTAATGAAAAATCAGCACCAAGAAGATTTTATGTAGTAATTCCAAAATAAGACCCACAATTCATTAAATATAGAGCAATCCCACTACAAGCTTGTACTGTAGTCTATTTCAAATATATAACACCGAATTTTCCAAAATCACAACTTATATATAAAAATTTATTTTTCACCTAGTTCATCTCTTATTAATATTTATTTAACATCTAATTAAGAAATTACACAGGCATTTGGATCCTCTTCAACACTTCTAACATGATAATATGCAGTCATGGGAGGATTATAGGCCTTGACCAGCTCGGCCACAGCATCTTGTTCTTTCTTCTTCGGATCTTCTTGCTTCTTTGGCTCTTCTTTCTTGGGTTCTTCCTTCTTCTTCTCTGGCTCTTTTGCTGGTCCTACTGTAATTATTTCTGTGTTACATAGCTTTCTCAGTTTGCTCACTATGTGTACTGGATCAACGTCCCCTATCACTGTCAACTTCTTGTCCTTCATGTCCATGGATATTGAATCCACCCCTGCAGATTTTGCATCACAAATCAAACCGCCCAATTATTATTTTTTCTTGAGAAAATTAATCACAAATTCTTCAAAAAAATAAAATAAATAAATACCTGAAAGGCTAGAGACTTTCTTCATGGCTTTTGTCTTGGCTTTGTCGTCATGCAAATCCAATTTCAACACGGCTTTCTGTAACAAAACAAAATCATGTTTTGTTATAAATAAATATACAGATAATCAAGAAACAGTGATCACCGAACATCACTATTAATTAAAGACAGTTATAATATGACCCCATCAAGGATTAATGCACTAAACACCAGTTTAATCAAAGATAAAGATGATATGGCGTCCCCATCAAGGTTTAATGGGCCAAGAATTATCTCATAGAAACAATAATGGCTAAAACAATCAAATTTAAGCTAACGAAACTCTCGGAATTATGGAGAAGAATCAAGCTTTTCATCAAAATAAGTTAATGATCGACCCCAAAGAAGAATAGAAAAAGAAAGGGACCTTTACTCATGATTCTTAATTTCACGCACGCATGCATGTCATCTAACAGAAGATATATAAAGAGAGCTGATCCTCACCTTCATATCTATAGCTAGCTTGGAGAGACTTGATCAAAGAAAGATTTCAGATCAAAGACAGCAAAATGAAAGGGTCTGCCGTGAAGAAGTAAGGCCAGAGGAGGAGGAGGAGGAGCTAAATAAGAAAAACTTGGTGATGAGGTGAAAGGGTTCTCGGTGGAGTTTTTATGGTTAGTAAAGGCAAGATTGTAGGACCATTGAACGAAGGCACTTCGGTGTTTCCCGCGTTGAAAACGACTTCGTTTACAATCATTGTACTTTCTGATTGTTGTTTTGTTTTGTTTTTGTTTTGTTTTTTTTTTAAATTGAAGTTATTTTTTACAAAACAATTTAGCATATTCTGGATAAAAAATACATAATTTTTTTAAAAAAAATAGATGAAAGTTTTTAATCGAGAATTTCTAAAAGTTTGAGTGTAAAATTGATATTAAAAATCACATTTCATAGTAACATTGATACTACATGTAAAATTGGGTGGTATTTTTGAGATTTATCCTTTTTCCCCTTCACTTTTCTTTCTGAAAAAACTCTCACTCATGTAAATTAGCTATGATTTATGATCCTAAGGAATAAATCGGTAAATAGTTTAAATTTTAGAGTTAATAATTTTTTTAAAATAAATCAAACTGACATAAAATGATATGTTTTAAAATCATCTCATAAAATTATTTTTCATACTTTGATGATATTTTTAAATTAACTTTAATATATTAAAAACAAACTCATCTCCCCAATACCATATATTCATTCATATCAAAATTGTAACTAAATATTGACTTCATGGGAACCAAGCGAGTACATAACTTGTTCATCAATGTGTATGTATTACATGTATGGTTGAGATACATCGATCAAATAAGCTATGTACTCTCTTTCAACTTGGTTTTTGTTTATATATATATATATAGAAAAGCAAATAAAATGATGTTTTTCAACTCGAAAGGCAGAAGAAGCAACAGCAGCCAGTCAACAATGCTTGTTTTCTAATCTCTCCCATGGTTATCAACCCGGTCCCTCTGGAGATTTGTCTCTAAAATAGAAGCCACGACTCCGCTTTCGTAGAAACAACTCTAGCCAGCGTAAGGACATCATCTTGATTTCCAAATCTTTATGGTCAAGATGATAGATCTACTGGTGTTCTGTTCCTTTCAGTCACGCGTAAGGACAAGTCCAGTCAACAATGCAAGACTCGTATATTACTATCTAAGCTTGTAATTTAGCAGCACAGGATCGGCCTTATAAATAGAATCACACTAACACAGGAGGGGTTTGTGTCTATCCTTGCAGAAGACAGGAAGAGCTCCGATGGACATGGCGTCCTCAAAACCTTGCAAGATTTTGCATTTTGTTTAAGCATTTCTAATTCAGCCATTCGAATTACGGATTATTTGATAGAAATTCCATATTTTTCACCCCAATATTATGTCCTGTATTCCTTTATTTATTTTATTTTCAAATCCGATACCCCACTCGTAAAATTCTAGCCGCCGTCCCTGCAGTAACCTTGGAGTTCTTGTGTGCTTGGCATACCATGTAATTAATAGAATCTCAAGGGTCAGGCCTGTTATTTTCGAAGGGAAACAGTCCACTCTAGGTTCTAGATTCATTATCAGCATCTAGTCCAAAAATATGGCCAAGAAATCAATGATATCTTAAGTCACAACTGAAATATGCAAAGATCCAAAAGAAAATTAGTTCTAGCTTTGAAGAAACTAGTCCTAAAAGAAAATTAAAGGTCGAGCTTTACACAAACAGAGCTAGCAGAGGCAATCTAGGAAAGGCAGGGGCATAAGAGCAATCCACGAGGTTGAATTGCCCCGGGATAGACGCTAGAGGGATCCGATTATCCGAACGGGTCAGGTTGGGTGCCTTTGATGGGGGCAACTTATATATAGTTAATTTTTTTTGTTAAGATTTTTATAAATAAAATATATCAGATAAATATGTTAGATAAAAAAAAACTTGGAACTTTATAAATCTAGTCAACATATAGACTCTAATAAGATATTATCAAATTTTAATTCTATATATCTTATTCTAGATAATCATCTATAATATAAATATTAAAGATACGATAAATTGTTATATATTTTTGATTTAGAATAATAATTCATATTAAGATATTGATTTTTTTATACTTTTATATATATATATATATATATAAAAGATATGATAAATATCTCTTATATATATCTCTTATATATATATATAACATCTTTTAAAAAACTTACTGTACTAACTATCTTATTAATAATATATATAAGAGATATTTATCTCTTATTAATATTGTCAAAAACAAAAAACTTTTCGTTATTTTTTTCTTTAAAAATAACAAGGTTTAGAAGATATAAATATCTTATCAACCATATAAATAAATGATTCATAACCTTTTATCTCTTGAGATAAAGATATATAAATTTTAGAGTATTAACCAACTTAAAATTAAAAAAAAAAACATCTTTATTTCTTGAATTTAATTTTTTTAAAAAACACTTAGTGCTTAAGTAATTTAATATATTTTTCATAAATATATTAACTTTATCATCAGAGGATTTTAAAGTCTCACTGATTGAGACTGTTTTTACAGATATTCAAAATTTTAATATAAGTTTGAAGTTTTTTATATTAAGAAAAAGAAATCCAAGTATTTGAATATGTCTTAGATATTAAATAACCTTTTAGTTATATATTTTGAATTTTAGAACATCATCTCAAAACAAATATAAAGGGTTTATGAAATTGAAATTTTATATTTTAAGAGATAATTTATTTTAACATCTAATTAAAATAAAAGTTAAGAAATGACACAAGCATTAGTACCATCCTCAACACTTGAAACATGGTAATACATGGTCGCGTGAGGATAATAGGACCTGTGAGCCCTCGCCAACTCATACACGTATTGATCTTCATCTTTCTTCTCATCTTCTGGTTTCTCTGGCTCTTCTTTTTTCTTTTCAGGCTCTTTTGCGTCTCCTACAGAAACTATCTCTACGTGACAAAACTTTCTCAATTTGTTCACTATGTTTACTGGATCGATGTCGCCTGTTACTGTCAATTTGTTGTCCTTCCGGTCCATGGATATTGAATCCACCCCTGCAAGTCAGCATCACAAAATAAACCACTTAATTATTTTTAAATAAATTTATATATATATCTTCAATAATAATCTTGATTTATAAGTTAATATGATCATGGAGGGGGGAAAAAATACTTGAGAAACCAGAGACTGTCTTCATAGCCCTTTTCTTGGTTTTCTCATCATGTATATCCAGTTTCAACGTAGCTTTCTGTGACAAAACAAGTTCAAGTTAATTTTGTTATAAATCAATATCAAGAACTTAACATTACTAAAAGATAAGCCCAAAAAAATGATCAAAATGATATTTTAGCTGATAAAATTCTCAGAATTGTAGAAAAGAAGCAAGTTCTCCATCAAAACAAACTAAAAAAAATACAAGAAATAAAGACTTGACTCATTCCTTCATGCATGACTGCGCGCAATAAGAATTCGTTTGGGCAACGTACGCGGTGCTCCTGCATGTAGTGCAAAATGTGTTTTGCATAAAAAAATAATATCTTTCATGCCAAACACATAGCCAAACAAAGCCTAATATAGTCACTAACAGAAAATTAATATAGAGGAAGTTGATTCTCACCTGCATGTTTATATATAGAGGAATATTGAAGATCAAGGACAGTGAAGGAAGCTTGAGGTCAAGAACCAAGACAGGAGGAGGTGAATGTTATAAACTTGGCGTGCAGATAGAGGCATAGAGGTTGATTTTATAGCGACGGGGAGAAAACTGAGTCAGCCACGAGGTCAAGTTTGGGGTCCATGAGCACAAATTGTGGGGCATGTCAGCAAGCAAAGGAAAGCACATTGGTGGTTATGTTGAAAACGACTTCGTTTCACTCATTGCACTTTTTAAAATTTTACTGAATTTTGTTTATATTATTGCTAGTCAAGGAGAAGTTTAGTGGTACCCTGGGAATATGATAAATTTTTTTAATGTACCGAATATAAGTATGTTTTACTTGACAAAATTTAAATTAATATTTTTAGTGTGTTTTTATGATTTTAATGTATTAATGTTAAAAAATAAAAAAATAAAAAAAATTATTTTAACATATTTTTAAATAAAAAATATTTTTAAAAAACATATTATACCATAATAACAAACACATATTAAATCAATGGATCTTAGGACTTAAAGCCAATTTTTTTTAAAGACAAGATATAAGATATAATCTCTTAAAGCTAACTTTAATGTGTTAAAATAAGTCATTTATATTCGATGAGGTTGAGATACACACACACACACACGCACTTAATTTTTAATATATATATA